AACCATGCCTCCATCTGTTGACAGACACAGTGGGCTTTGCTGGGGCGGGGCTGGTCAGGCCTCCATGCCCTGCCATGGTGGGGGTCCAGGGAGCGTGCACAGAGGGGAGGCTGCGACCCAGATGGCCATCTTAGGTGCTGGGAAGAACCCTGTGGTCAGGTTAGAATCCCTGGAGGCAGAGGTGGTGGGAGGGACAGTCCATTTTGGCAGTGTGGGCGGTGCGGGGGTGGGGGTGGGGGAGGCAAGTAACTTGGGGATTGGGTGTCTGGAACATTCACAAAACTCCCTGAAAGACACAAATGGCTTTTAGGCATGCGAGGCTATCCCCAGGCCCCTTGCATATGAGGAGATAGATGCATCTCTGAACCACTTTAGCATCAGGTCAGACGGCAAAGGTGCGAGAGTTAAGTAATGTGCCACGTGAGCTCTAGGTGAGGGAAAGTAACTACGTGTTTCTCTCCAGTATCGCTTGGCACCATCATTTTGAAGGGCAACTTGGCAGTATCTTTCAATTTACCCACATTTCCTTTAACCAGGAGTCCCAGTCCTTGGGATTGCTGACTTTACAAATAAAACTGTCAGGGTGTCCTTCTCCCTCATCCACTTTAGAGAGTCACTGTCTTATAAATACTTTGAAGTCCCTTACTTGCTGCTGTCTCCTTTCTCTGACACGGTTCCATCCCTGGATGAGACCCCATCTTATATTTACACGACCACACCACTCAGGTGAGCTGGAGACGATATCCAAAAGTGGACCCACAGACTGCTTCAAAATGACCTACACGCCAAATCAGCCAGAAACATTGTCCAGAAATCAGTAAGCTCATGCTTCTTTCACAAAATACTTTCTCCAGAACCCCAGTATCTGTAACCAATCTTCTTCATGTTCTCACATCCTAGATTTCCCTTCTTTTCCCATTATCTTGCCTCATCATTCATGAAAAAATTAGATCCCATCAGGCAAGAGCCAAATTATCTTCCCTGATAAAACAAGATGAACAAGGTCTGCACTCATATTATCCTTCTTTTCCCCATCATGTCAGAAATTGTGGAGTGACTTACAGTTACCTCTACCTCATTTCAATACTAAAGTCTCCATCCAATGGGGAGCAGAAGCCTCATTTACTTAACATACGATGTACGGATAGGGATGTTTCTTTAAGGTGCATGCATCACCTTGTGCCCACCCCTATAGCCAGTGACAAGGTTCCCAAACTTAAATATTCATCCTAACCCTAAATCAAAGGAATCCATCTACCATTGCTGGGGGAGTCACAGCTTTGGAAGTTATTCCCTGTGATCTCCTTATTTGCTGCAATAACGTTGACTTTGTGCTATAATTCACCTGATGTAGTTTCTATCTGTGACTCATGGAGGAGAAAACTTGTGTTAGTTCAGCTACACATTTAGCAAGAAAACAAGAGAATCAGGCCTTTTAGAAACTAGACACAGAGAGTTGAGCTTTGGTCATTGTAGCAACTGGCACCTCAGTAGTAACAACAGAAGGTTTCCAGAATAAATCGAGTTGGAGGAGCTGGCATACCCTGCTGCCATCAGCCCCTCAGGCTCCAGGCAGGCAGCAGCTAACGTCATTGTTTGGTCAGGGTTCTGGATCAAACTGCACCCCCCCTCCCTTCTTCTCAGCCAGAGCGGTGCTTGGGAGGGTGGTCCCAGAACAAGTCTCCTCTCATCTGCAGACATCTTGCCAACACCTTGACCACTTTGCCTGAGATACCAACTCCGCTGTACCCATGTGTGATTTTCCTGCAGATCTGGGACCTAGTTCACCACTTAAGATGAAACCCTGGGCACTTGATTCAAATGCAGAAAGCTCTGGTAGAGTCAGAGCTTTTGACCTAGCTTGGGCTTCTCTCCAAGGAATGGCTTTCTTCCCCTGTCTCACTCTCATCCTTCAGCTTCCAAACTGCTGGGAGGGAGGGAGGGAGGGAGGAAGGGAGGGAGGGAGGAAGGGAGGGAGGGAGAGTGTCTGAGCCACTCACCTTGTCTGGGGCAAAAAGTCTCCTCCTTTTCCTGCCCCAGGAAACCCCACTAAATCATTTAAGAATCATGGATGTGAAGGCTGACGTCTCACTGCAAGCCTTCCTTGGGGGGCGGGGGGCAAGTCAAAGGAGGATGTTAAACAGGTTACATTGGTGACTTAGAGTTCATAGTCCAAACACAAGTGGGAATGGTAAGGAAGGCCTGGTGGGGGATGTTTTTGAGCCCTCAGCCCTGGGCTCTGGGCCCAGCACACTCCTAGTGCAGTACTCTGCTCAAAGTGATGGTTTTTGTCCTTAGTCTTCAAGTTCCACTATGTTCCTACTCTCCCACGGGCATCTGGCAGACGCTCCTTAACCAAACTTTCTCTTTACCCGTACTCCTCTGAGTCCTCTTTCTGACTAGGCCTGGGCCTTGCATTCTGTCCTTAGCCAGCTTCATCCAATTTTAGCAAGAATCCTCCTGCTCATTAAGTTTAGTAAAAATTCCCCATAATTGAATTCCGATCAAATTTCTCATTCTGCAGCAAGAATCCTGTTGAGTTGATTGAAGATTCCTCCTCACCGTGATGTTTCCTCTTAGTAATTTTCCGGCCGCTCACCCCCATGTGTTCTCTGGCTATAAATTTCCACTTTTCCTTGTATTTGCCATTGATCTCAATCTCTCTTCCCCACTGCAAACCCCCACTGACTTCAGAGTGAGAGGGAGACACAGAATCTGAAGCAGCTCCAGGCTCTGAGCTGTCAGCACACAGCCCGATGCAGGACTGGAACTCATGAGCTGTGAGATCATGACGTGAGCTGAAATCAGACGCTTAACCAACTGAAACTTCCAGGCACCCCTGCAGTGGTCCCTCTTGAGTAAAGTCTTCCCTCTGCTATAACAAGTGTCTGAGTCTCAGACACAATCCCCATGGGAAATCCTCAGTCTGAGTCCAGACACCCACAGGTACTCTGGCCAAGGGATTTCACTGCCTCCTGGCCATGTCAAAGAGGAAGATGGGCAAACATGAATGAACCTCAGAGACAGTACTTCTGAATGAAGCAGGGAGGGGGTGGGAGAGGTGGGGCTCTCATTGTGACTCAAAGTCATCATCCCAGGCTTGTTTCAAAAGTCAGACTAAGGGGCACCTGGGTGGCTTTGTTGGTTAAGCGTCCAACTTTGGCTCAGGTCATGATTGTGAGTCCAGCCTTGCATCGGACTCTGTGGGACAGCTGGGAGCCTGGAGCCTGCTTCCGGATTCCGTGTCTCCCTCTCTCTACCCCTGCCCTGCTCACACCCTGTCTCTCTGTCTCAAGAATAAATATTAAAAAAAAATTTTTTTTAAAGTCAGACTAAAAGAGTGAACACAGCAAGGGTGTGAATGTATTCAATGCCACTGAACCACACAATTAAAAGTAGCTAAAATGGTGGGGCACTGGGGGACTCAGTTGGTTGAGTGTGCAACTCCTGATGTTGGCTCAGGCCTTGACCGCACATTTTGTGGGATCAAGCCCCATGGTGGGTTCTGTGCTGATAGTACAAAGCCTGCCTGGGATTTGCTCTCTCCCTCTCTCAGTCCTTCCTCCCCCAACTCTCAAAATCAAAATCTTAAATAAAAATTTAAGAAAAATAGCTGAAGTGGTGATATGTATTTTTACCACAATTAAAAAAAACAAACTTCTTCTTCTTGGTTTGGAGTAAGGGAATTTCTGAAAGGCAAGGAGAATTTTAGCATTTAATAGCTAAAGTTCATCCATAGCAATTATATCCTGAATTATATGTCTTTCTTTTCTTCCTTTTTTCCTTTATTTCTTTCCTTCCTTCCTTCCTTCCTTCCTTCCTTCCTTCCTTCCTTCCTTCCAACTTCTTTCCTTCCTGGGAACACTGCAGACCAACCAAGGCTGTGTGTGTAGACTGTGTGTGACACTGAGGATATGCAGAATCATGCTGGAGGGAAACTCTTTCAGTGTGTATATGCATTTAGCAGGGAAGGGTTCTTTCTTAATTTTACGAAAAGCTCACAGAAAAGCCTGGTATGTGCCAACATATACTACTTTTAAAATAGTTGATGTCACTTTATATGTTATTAATAACCCAATCATGTCTTTTATTAAACATATTTACTGAGGTATGATTGACAAAAATTGTGTATATTTAGGTTGTATGACGTGAGGGTTTATCTGTGTGTACATTGTGAAATGATGACCACAATCAAGTTAATTCACATAGCCATCACCTCACATGGTTAGTTTAAATTTTGTAGGTGTGGTGAGAACACTGAAGGTCTACTCTCTTAGCAAACTTCAAGTATAAAATACTACAGTATTATTAACTGTAGTCACCACGCTGTACATTAGATCTCCAGAACGTATTCATCTTACGATTGAGCTTTGTATGCTTTGCCCAATGTCTCCCCGTTTCCCCTACCCCCCAAACCCTGGTAACCACCATTTTATATTCTGGTTCTATGACTTTGACTTTTTAAGATTCCACATATAAGTGAGCCATACAGTATTTGTCTTTCTATGTCTGATTTATTTGTTTAGCACCGTGTCGTCAAGGATGTTGTCACAAATGGCGGGTTTCCTTCTTTTTTTAATCGCTTAATAATATATACATGCACATATGCATATATATGTTACTGACCTTGGGGATCTTTGACTCTAGAGCGTAGAAAGAGACATGAGGCCAGGGATGGTGTGGATAGCATTTAGTACAAGCTCATGCCCGGGCATGATGGAGACAGTCTTGGTAAGGAATACTAGGATGCTCCCGAAACAATGGCCAGGGAAAGTTTTTATTTTTTTAATGTTTACTTTTGAGAGAGTGAGAGAGAGAGAGAAAGAGAGAGAGAGAGAGAGAGAGAGAGAGAGAGAGAGGCAGAGAGGGAGACACAGAACCCGAAGCAGACTCCAGGTTTTGAGCTGTCAGCATAGAGACTGACGCGGGACTCAAACCCATGAACTTCGAGATCATGACCTGAGCCGAAGTTGGATGTTTAACCTACTGAGCCACCAGGTGCCCCCAGGGAAGGTTTTCGAAGGGTAGAAGGCAGGAAAGGAGTGACATCTAACCCTGTAAGGGTGGAGAAATATAGGAAGTTGGGTGTGCAGGTGCAGTTGACAGAACATGCTTTTTCATACGTGGTATGTTTTATTTGTGTGATAACTCTCTGCCCCTGGGTGTGATTTTTAGCCTTATGAGGGGAAAAGTCAGGGAAAGGTAGGTGCTGGGGTCCACTGTCGCTCTGACTGGTCTGGTGTAGTCTTTGTCCCAGCAGGCCAGTTGTAAGTTGAGCCCCAGAGCCTGTTTCAAGCTTGTGGGTTTGGCTTCTTGATTGTATGCAGCACCTGTACAGTGGGCTAGAGAAATGGGTTATGTGAGGGGGCCCAAAGTTTTCTACGAAAGAAATGTCTCAGAAAAAAGAATTGCAAATGGGCAGATAAAGAGCTTTCCTTTTGAAACAGACTGAAACTGCAAGGAGATTAGGGCCTAGAGCAATTTCATTTCATGATGTTTTTATAGGCAGGTGCCTCAGAGTCCCTGACACACACACACAGACACACACACACACACACACAAACCTGTTTAACACTTCATTTTGGCACCAGGGATGAAGTCTGTTTATTCCAAAAGCATCTTGGAACCAGAAGTGAGTCCAATTTTACAATCAACAGTGAGTGACTGTACGCAAAAAGTTACTTCAAACCTCAAATAGATACAAATAATCCGTACACGAATCCTGATGGCTTGCTGGTCAACCGCCCAAAACTCCCTCAAGCCCCAGCCTAGCAGACTGCTGGTCAACCTGGACTGCGGAAAGAGGCATGCAAGGCAGCGTCCAACCCGGCTCTTTCGTCACACACGCTCCCTGCAACAGCCACATCAGTCGCACATTACAAGTGTCGAGCCGCCCCCCATCCCCTTTCTCCATCATTGCCAAGGCTCCCCAACCCCGTCCCCGCCCACGTTGAGCCACGACGAGGTGGGGAAAGAAGCGGGAATCCAGGAGGATTCACGCTCGCGGGTTAAGTGCGACGGCAGTGATCCACGTAGGACCACGGGAAACCCCGTGGCGCCCGGTCCCAGTCTCGGAGCCGGGGCCGCCCTCTCCCCTTACCCGCCGCGGTCGCGGTCGCGGTCGCTTCCCGCGAGCCAACAGGCGGCGAGCGGCGTGTGCTGGTCGACCCGTCTGGGCAGCCCCACAACCCCTGCGGGAGACGCGACGACAGCCTCCCTAAGAGACCTGCTCGCCCAAACCCCGGCGAAGGCAAGACCCGCCGACGCCGTGGCACCGCCGAGCACATCCTGCTGGCGCTGCCGGCCCCCTGGAACTCTGCGGCGCTGACTGCGGCCGAATCCCAGCCGTCGCTAGTCTTGCGGAGCTCCGGGGGAAAAGGCTAGAGAGGCGGGCGCCAGGTGGCGCTAGACAACCGGGCCGGCTCCGGACCGCAGGCGGGCGAGGGCGCACCACCGGCCGCCTGCGAGTCCGATCTCGTCCCGGTCCCCTCGGATGGCGCTTCCCCGCGCCAGGTGGGCGGAGGGTGTCCCGCGGGGCCCCGGGTAGTATTCTCCCCCCCGCCCCCCCCCTTCCCCAGGAGTTCCCTGCCTGGATGGATCGGCCCTGCCTGACAGGGCTCGGCACCTACAGCAGAAGGGGGAGTTTGAAAACCTTTTTCTGGAAATCTCCCTGGAATCGCCTTCCCCTGCCTGGGACGGTGGACGGGAAGGGGACAGACTGGAGGCGGCGACTCGTGAGCCGGCGCAAAATTCCCCAGAGTCGCCGGCACGTCCGCGTCCCCTAGCCCACCTTCTTTCTCAGAGCGACAGCGGTGCTTCTCGGCGTCCTAGATGGACAGGACATCTGCGGGGGTAGGGTGGGCCGGGACCGAAAAACTGAAACCATGAAAGTACTGGTAGAAAGCGTGGAGGGACGCCTCTCATTCTACGATGCTGGAGTGGAGGTCTCCCGAAAGCATAAAGCAAAGTCCAGAATCCATCGAAGAAATGATTCATCAACTTGCCCGCGTAATGAGTAACCAAAATGGACCTTTGCATATACCACAGGGAAAGTCCCTTGGCAACAAGGGGGCGTGGGGAGCATTTGGGCACACGCATGGGTGATAAGAATATTGATGTCAGCACTATTTGTTACAAGAACAAAAAGTTGGGAAAAGATCATAGCCATGAAGGGGAGCCACGTGGAACTCTGGTGTACCCCATACAACGCCATACTATCAATTGTCTTCTGGTTTAGGGATTCGTCTACCCAGTCCTCTATAACAAGTATTATACACTTGGTGACTTATACAACAACGGAAATGTATTGCTCACATGTCTGGAGGCCAGAAGTCCAAGATCAGGGTGCTGGCATGCTTGGGTGAGGGCCCTCTTCTGGGTCACAGACTTTCCTTGGAATCTCATATGGTGGAAAGATCTAGGGAGCTTATTATAGGATCGTTTATTTTTAGTTTTTCATGTTTCATCTTATTTTTTAAACGTTATTTTTCTATTCTCTTGTATGTTGTAATATGTTAATTCCTTTTTTGCATTTTATTTTATATTCTTCATTTCATTTATTTCCTGTAGAGGTAATATACAATGTTGATTCCTTTCCGGTGTCCGATGCAGTGATTCAACACTCCATACATCACCCAGGGCTCAGCAGGACAAGTGCACCCCTTAGTCTCCATCACCTGGTTCACTCATTCCCCCAGCCACCTCCTCTCTGCTCACCATCCTTCTGTTTTTTTACAGCCAAGAGTCTGTTTCTTGGTTTGTCTCTCTCTCTCTCTCTTTTTCCTTTGCTCATTTGTTTTGTTTCCTAAATTCTACATACACGTGAAAACATAGGGCATTTGTCTTTCGCTGCCTTATATCACCTAGTTCCATCTATGTGTTGTTTTTCTCCCCCTGTGAAGGAAATTCTTTATTTTTTTCATTCTTTTTTTCAAGAATAGAATTTAGTGAGTCATCATTTACATGTAACACCCAGTGCTCATCCCAGTAAGTGTCCTCCTTAAAGCCTCTCTCTCCTTTAGGGGTTCCCCCCACACAACTCCCCACCAGCACTCCTCGGTTTGTTCTCTGTATGAGTGAAATCATATGAGGTTTGTCTTTCTCTGTCTGATTTTGCGTAGCGTAATACACTCTACTTCCGTCCAATTTGTTACAAATGGCAAGATTTCATTCTTTTGGATCGCCAAGTACTATTCCACTGGGTCCATATACTACATCTTCTTCATCCATTCACCACTTGGCAGACATTTGGGCTCTTTCCATTCTTTGGCCATTGTTGATAATGCCGCTAAGATCATCGGTGTGCCTGTGCCCCTTCGAATCAGCACTCCTGTATCCTTTGGATAAATACCTAGTAACGCAATTGCTGGGTCGCAGGGTAGTTCTCTTTGTAATTTTTGGAGGAACCTCCATACTGTTTTCCAGAGTGGCCGCACCAGTTTGCATTCCCACCAGCAGTGCAAAAGGGTTCCTCTTTTTCCGCATCCTCGCCAACATCTGTCGTTGCCTGAGTTGTTCATGTTAGGCATCCTGACAGGTGTGAGGTGGTATCTCGTTGAGGTTTTGATTTGTAGTTCCCTGATGATGAGTGACCTCGTGCATCTTTTCATGTGTCTGTTAGCCATCGGGAGGTCTTCTTGGGAGAAGTGTCTGTTCGTGTCTTTTGTCCATTTCTTCCCTGGATTATTATTTTTTTTTTTTTTTTGGATGTTGAGTTTGATAAGGTCGTTCTAGATTTTCAATACTAACCGTTCGTCTGATACGTCATTTGCAAATATCTTCTCCGATTCCGTCGGTTGCCTTTTAGTTTTGCCGATTGTTTCCTTCGCAGTGCAGCTTTTTATCTTGATGAGGTCCCACTAGTTCATTTGTGCTTTTGTTTCCTTTGCCTCTGGAGACGTGTCAAGTAAGAAGGTGCTGCGGCTGACGCCAAAGATGTTTTTGCCTGCTTTCTCCTCGAGCATTTGGATGGCTTCCTGTCTTATGTTTAGTCTTTCCTCCGTTTTGAGTTTATTTTTCTGTCTGGCGTAAGAAAGTGGTCCAGGTTCGTTCTCCTGCATGTCGCTGTCCAGTTTTCCCAACACCACGTGCTGAAGGGACTGTCTTCATTCCATTGGATATTCTTTCCTGCTTTGTCAAAGATCTGTTGGCCATACGTCTGTGGGTCCATTTCTGGGTTCTCGATTCTGTTCCATTGATCTCGGTGTCTGTTCTTGTGCCAGTATCATACTGTCTTGATGATTACAGCTTCGTGCTACATCTTGATGTGTGGAATTGGGATGCCTCCAGCTGTGGTTTTCTTTCTCAGGATTGCTGTTGGCTATTCAGGGTCTTTTCTGGTTCCGTACAAAATTTAGGATTTTTTCTCATAGCTCTGTCAAGAAAGCTGGGTTTCTTTCGGTAGGAGTTGCGTCGAATATGTAGATTGCTTTGGGTAGTATTGGCATTTTAACAATATTTGTTCTTCCGATCCAAGAGGATGGAATACTTTTCCATTCTGTGTGTGTGTGTCTTCTTCAATTTTTTTCATAAGCTTTCTATACTTTTCAGTGCATAGGTTTTTCGCGCCTTCGGTTAGGTTTATTCCAAGGCATTTTATGGACTCGGTGCAATTGGAAATGGGATCGATTCCTTGATTTCTCTCGCTGTTGTTTCATTATGGGTGTACAGGAACGCAACCGATCTCTGTGCCTTGATTTGATATGCTGCGACTATGCTGGACGCATGGATCAGTTCTAGCAGTTTTGGGGGGAATCTTTTGGGTTTTCCGTATGGACTGTCACGTTGTTGGCCAAGAGTGAAAGTTTGACTTCCTCCTTGCCAGTTTGGATGCCTTCTAGTTCTTCTTGTTGTCTGATTGCTGAGGCTAGGACTCCCAATACTAGGTTGAATAACCGTGGTGAGAGTGGACATCCCTGTCGTGTTCCTTACCCTAGGGGGGAAACTCTCAATTTCCCCATTGAGGATGATATTCGCATTGGTCTTTCCCATGTGGGTCTTATCATCTTGAGGTATGATCCTTCTATCCCTACTTTCTTAAGGGTTTTCATCAAGAAAGGATGCTGAGTTTTGTCAAATGCTTTCTCGGCACCTACTGAGAGGATCATGTGGTTCTTCTTTCTTTTACTGATGTAGTGTATCACACTGATCGATTTGCAGACATGGAACCAGCCCTGCATCCCAGGTATAAATCCCACTTGATCGTAGTGAAGAATTCTTTTCATGTACTGTTGGATTCGGTGGGCTAGTATCGTGTGGAGCATGTTTGCCTCCATGGTCATCGGGGAAATTGGTCTCCAGTTTTCCTATTGAGTGGGGTCTTTGTCTGGTTTTGGAATCAAGGGAACTCTGGCCCCATCGAATGAGTTTGGAAGTTTTCCTTCCATTTCTATTTTTTGGAACAGCTTCAAAGGAAGAGCTGTTAATTCTTAGTTAAATGTTTGGTAGAATTCCCCTGAAAAGCTATCAGGCCCTGGACTCTAGGTTTTGGGGAGACTTTTGGTTACTAATTTAATTTCTTTCCTGGTGACGAGTCTTTTCCATGTTTCTATTTCTTCCTGTTTCAGTTTTGGTGGTTAATGTTTCTAGGAATTTGTCCGTCTCTTCCAGAATGCCCATTTATTGGCGTATAATTGCGCATTATATTCTGTTGCGACCGGCGCAACAAACACTGAGATCAGGGTCCTGAGGGTAGGGGAATGGAAGAAAGAAAAGGAGAGAAGCCAGTTTGGGAACAGGAGGGTCCCATGGGCTGATGGCCCAAGTGACAGCTTTATTGTTGCTGTACACAATCTTCTATATCAAGACTCTGTGGGTCAGGTCATTCTAAGAATAAACAGGTTTCGCATGATCGCTGCCAACCAAAACATTTAGTTCTGTGTACATTGTGAACTTTCTAAACGGGTCACAGCAAGGTCCTGTTGGTAGATTGTTAGCAAAACACAGTTCCCATGTTTGTTTCTATTTGACCCGGGGTAGAAAGGGGGGTAACATTACTGCCAACACCCACAGACCACAGGCTTCAGGAATTAGATTTCTCCGCCTTGGCGAGGCTTTCGTATGCCTTTGCAAGTGGGGGAATGGGAGGGGAGGGGGAACCACCGGGTTGGCTGAGTCAACAGGGAGCCGTTGCTCAACCCGGTCTCAGCCTGGCTCCGGGGTCTGGCCTCCTACATTTCCCCCTATTGTTTGTAATTGCAGCATGTGCATCCTGGCTTGGTATGTGGTAAAGGCAGTGAGACCCCATCTCCAGAAACAACACAGTAACATAAGTATAACAGATATTACGGAAACAATTTCAATAAAGATCCAAAGGGAATGCTGAAGAATATTAAATGGATTAAGCCCATTAAGTTGGTGCAGTATGGTTCCAGCGAGATCTCCAGGGTCAGGGAAACTGAGTGAGCTACTTGCAATAGCATTTATCTCTTCTTGTAGCTGTAAGAGGTCTAAGCTAGTGTTAGCGTCATGCCAAACCCCTTGTAAATGACGACGCACTTGTCCCCAGGTCATATTGGTATACTCTAACGGGGTGACACAGATATGTTTATATGCATCATGACAAATTAGAGAAAATCTGGTACGCAAAACAGCAAACTGATCGCCAAGATATATCAATGCTTCTTGTAGTGCCTCCAATTGGGCTTCCAATTTACGGTCTATTCGTTCTTGAGTGGCAAGCACCTTGGATATATTATGAGCCAATTCATTTACATGGGATGCCGTTTGGGCACTTTCATGTAAGGATATTACAGATACAGTTGCAGAGGCAATGACAGTCACTGTTGCTATGAGTCCAGCAACCAAGAGTCCAAGAAACCGTCTGGTCCTGTGCAGCCGTTTACTGATTTCTAAGGCCAATTGAATCCCATAATTAGGATACCAAGGTCCTGTAACATTTACTGGCAACATCCAATAGGGAGGTTGTAAGACCAGATAAATCTTCATTTCACTTCTAGAGGGCCCCTCTACTAGTAGACAATTGGTCAAAACACAAGCAGGACAAGTCAGCCGGTATAACTGATGACCATCTTCCTTCACTGGAGTAATGGCTCCATCTCCAACAATCAAATAGTAGGGAGGAGGAACACAGGCACGCAATTGTAGGACTGGAGAAAGAGAATAATCTGGAAAACTAAAGCTGTCATTAGTATACATTTTATCAAAGGCAGCATATAACTTCCAAAGATCAGAATGAATTCTTCCTTCAGGGGATTGCAAAATGGTTTGTGGGATAACCTTGTGGTGTTCCTGCACCTCGTTAGGAGGTGGGCCCATATCTCTTAAAGGAACCACTAAAGGTCTCCTTGTTTCCCTTTGCACTTCCAAAATAGCCATAGGTGTTTCTTGAAGGAATGAATGCCAGGCCTCTCGGGAATAATCTGTAATGGTATAGTTTATGCCTTTAGGAGTCATCCTTAATGAAGAGGATTGGGCACATTTACCCCAAGGTGAGTCCCCAGTAAGGCCTTGACCAATTGAGGGACATACAGGAAGATTTTGAGGGGGATCACGTGGTCCAAAAAACATCCATTCTCCTAATAATTCTCTCTTTTGCCGATAAGCGGCAACGGAGCGAGATGTACATGTGGGGAATACTTTGTCTTTCCCTTTAATATCTCCCCCTCTTTAAGTTTTTGCAGATACTGTTTTAGTGTCAGGTGAGCGCGTTCAACAATAGCTTGTCCTGTGGAATCATAAGCCTTGCCAGTTGTATGCTCAATTGGGAGTCGGTGGCAAAATTCTGCAAAAGATTTAGAAGTATAAGCACTACCATTGTCAGTTTTTATTTTATGAGGTTTGCCCATTGCTGCAAAGGCAGAAAATAGGTGATTTTGAACATCAACAAATGCTTCTCCTCAGTGGGCTGAAGCATGTATATAGCCTGAGCAAGTATCTACAGACACAGGTATATTGCAATTTCCCAAAAGGTAAATATTGGGTGACGTCCATTTGCCACAAATCATTGGGCCGAAGACCTCGGGGATTAATGGCATAGACCGGCTGTGGGAAGAATTGCGGACAGATGACGCATTGTTTAACAATTTGTCTGGCCGCCTCACGAGATATTTTGAATTCTCGTCGAAGGGCTGCCTCATTCTGATGAAAATTATCATGACTCCTTTTGGCTGTTTCCAAAGGAGTGGTAATGGGCAGAACTTGCAATAAATGGGTTGCTGCCTCGGCTATGCGATTCCCAGCAACTAGGGGACCAGGTAGATCGGTGTGAGCTCGATTGTGGGAAATATAAATTGGACTGTGCCGTAAATTAAGAAGTTTTTGTATAGCATGAAATAGATGATAAAGTTCCTCATCCGCTGTCAGTATAAAGGCCGTGGGAAGTTGCAACACGGCTGTGACAACGTATTGACTGTCAGAATAGACATTTATAGATTCCGGGTAAGTTTTTAAGGCTACCTGTACAGCATAAAGCTCGGCCCTTTGGACAGATTTAGTCGTATAATTGAAAATGATCAAATTTTTATGTTGGGAAGTGACATAATACACTGCAATTTTACCCTCTTTACTAGCATCCACAAAAATGGAGGCAGCGTCTTCAATCGGCTGACAAACAATAGGATTATAGGGCAAAATATCTATAAGACTGAAACCTTGTATTAAAGAATCAGAAGGTAAATGAAATTTAATTTGACCTGTAAAATTAGCCAAGGCAAGTTGCCATTCGATGGACTGGGCAAAAGCAACGTCCACCAGCTTCTCTGTCAGAAAGGCACATGCAATAATTTCTGGATCGTGTCCAAAGAGCTGAACAGCTCGGGATCTTCCTCTAATGATGAGAAGACAAACCATAGATAGCAAAGGATTAATGACATGCAGGGAGTGTCATTCACTCCCATTCAAGTGGGCCATGAGATTGCCACAGAATTGCAAAGGGGATGACCTGAGGTTTTAATATTATTAGATACAAAGGCTGAGAAGGGTCAATTCTAGTGACTGGGGCCTGCCGAATGGCCTGTTCTATATGTCTTATAGCTTCTTTAGCTTCTTGAGTGAGACTTCGTGGGGACGCTGGAGAACCATCTCCTTTTAGAATATTAAACAAAGTCAGTAATTGTTCTGTGGTGACCCCTAGTGTATTTCTAATCCAGTTTATATCTCCTAATAATTTCTGAAAATCATTTAGAGTAGTAAAATGTCCGGTTCTAACTGATCCTTTCTGAGGTCGAACAGTTGATTTGGAGATGAGATACCCTAGGTATTCAAAAGGGGCTTCCTTTTGAACTTTCTCAGGGGCAACAATCAAATTATATGCTTGAAGGCACCTTTGAAGAGAAATAAAAGCTTCCTATAATAATTCCTCAGTTTCAGCAGCCAAAAGCAAGTCGTCCATATAATGGATGTAATATACATGGGGGAAGCTCTGTCTAAAAGGGGTCATTGCTCTGGCCACAAACTCTTGACATAAAGTTGGACTGTTAGCCATGCCTTGCGGTAAGACCTTCCACTGGTACCGCTCAGCAGGTTCCTGTAAGTCAGTGGAAGGCAGGGAGAACGCAAAATGTTCTCCGTCGCCAGGGGCCAACGGAATGGTAAAAGAAACAATCTTTTAAGTCCAAAACTAGTAATTGATATTGCAAAGGAATGGCCGATGGGGAAGGGAGGCCGGGTTGCAAAGCCCCCATGGGTTTCAGGGCAGCATTAATCGCTCTCAAATCCTGCAGCAACCTCCAGGATCAAGGAACTCTTTAATACAGGTCCAGGTAGACCATGAGGTCCTTGGAACCGCAGCCCCATGAATCTTCATTTGACTTTTAAGTTCCTGACCAACTCGCTGCCAAACCTTTAAATCAACTGTACCCCCGTCTGGAAACCATGGGCAATAATCGTGCACTATGTCAAAAAATTCCCTAAGAGCTGACTGAGAAACCTTAATTCCCTTCTCCTTCATAAGAGCCTGCAAGGCAGTTACAAAATATCCCTGTTCCGTACACTGTTTCTGTCCCATAGTTTTACTCCCGTCGTCTGTGCTGCTGGCACAGTTCCCCTACCTGAATTAGACGCTGTGCGATCTGCTTTCGCTTTCCTCCCTGTTGTCTCAGGTCCCTGTTCGGGTGCCACTTGCTGCGACCGGCGCAACAAACACCGAGATCAGGGTCCTGAGGGTAGGGGAATGGAAGAAAGAAAAGAAGAGAAGCCAGTTTGGGAACAGGAGTGTCCCCTGGGCTGATGGCCCAAGTGACGGCTTTATTGTTGCTGTACACAATCTTCTATATCAAGACTCTTAGGGGTCAGGTCATTCTAAGAATAAACAGGTTTCACATGATCGCTGCCAACCAAAACATTTAGTTCTGTGTACATTGTGAACTTTCTAAACGGGTCACAGCAAGGTCCTGTTGGTAGATTGCTAGCAAAACACAGTTCCCATGTTTGTTTCTATTTGACCCGGGGTAGAAAGGGGGGTAACATTACTGCCAACACCCACAGACCACAGGCTTCAGGAATTAGATTTCTCCGCCTTGGCGAGGCTTTCGTATGCCTTTGCAAGTGGGGGAATGGGAGGGGAGGGGGAACCACCGGGTTGGCTGAGTCAACAGGGAGCCGTTGCTCAACCCGGTCTCAGCCTGGCACCGGGGTCCGGCCTCCTACAATATTCTCTTATTATTGCTTGTATTTCTGCAGTGTTGGTTGTGATCTCTCCTCATCCACCCTTGATTACATTTATTTGGGTCCTTTCCTTTTTGCTTTTGATCAACCTGGCTAGGGCGTTGTCAGTTTGGCCAATGCTTTCAAAGAAACAGCTGCTGGTTTCATTGATCGGTGCTACTGCTTTCCTTTTGTATTTGGAAAGCGTTCATTTCTGCTCTAATCTTTCTTGTTTCCCATCTTCTGCTGGTTTGGGGTTAGCTTACACTTGAAAGCTAGTTCATTTCATCTTGGACTGTGTCATCTGCCTTGATTGACACTTCAGGTCCGGGGGCTGGCGAGAGACAAATTAGAGTCCCTGTGTCCCAGTGCGAATTCCCTGAAGATTACCCACATCTGGCTGCGTGTGGTCAGCACCCAGCCTTTCTCCAATTTGGAGTGCAGGCCAACTGAGAACAGGGGACAAAGGGTAGAGAGATATCAAGAACAGCGTTTCGTTTCTGGACAGCTAGACTGTAGGATGCATCCTGTTCCTACTCAGGGAATGGGAACATTCTGCTCTGCCCTTGCTGAAGGGAACAGACTCACACATTGGCTTACCGGGCTAACTGGATCGTGTGGGCTGGTGGAGACTTCAGGATAAACTGGCAGAGCAGGGAGGACAAGAGGAGTACACAGCATGCAAACCAAGATTGAGGCAGAGACCCAATGGCAGGAGCCCCTTAAGGACTTGGCCATCATCGATGCCATCCAAGTGGCCTAAGAGGCCAGTGGAGGCCAGTGGACTTCCGCCTCCCCTCAGCACTGTGCTTCCCTCCTTGTGTAGGCAGATCGGAACGAGAGTGCGGCACTGACGAGATTGCCCCCACACTGTTTTCTCTTGAAGGTGACCACGAAAGCACACAGGTAAAGAGATCGCTTCCTCAAAATCCCTTTTCCAACTGGCATCGTCTTCTCAAGAGGGATTATGGAAGCAGGAAGTTCTCTTCCCATCTGGAGAGTTCTCCCAGAATAGTGCATGGGCACATGGACACGCCACAGGGTGTTCACAACTCCAGCCTTTGTTTTTTCCCCTCGGTGGTGCTGGGGCCTTATCGATTTTATCGTTTCACACACCAATTGTTGACTTTTTTATTTTCTCTGTGGCTTATCTTTTTCCCGTGTAATTGATGTGCCCTTTGTCCTTCATTTCCCCTCCGTGGGTCTGATTTGTTGGTGGGTTTTCTAGCTCCTCAAAACGGAACTTAAACAAGTGATTCTCAACCCTTGCCCTCTGCTAACAGAAGCATTTGAAGCGACGGGCACTGCCCTAGTGGCATCTCACCACCAAATTCCATGTTGTATTTTGATTATCAGTCTGTTCTGTTTTACGTGTTCCATGTAATTTCCTCTCTAAACCGTGAGCCTTCAAGAAATCTACCGTTGTTGTGCAAACATTTAGGGATTCTCTGGACGTCTTAGTATTGTCGATTTCTACTTTATTCCCAATGTGTCAGAGAACATACTTTCTAATAGTTCGTTATCCTGATGATTATTGGGCCTGTGTCATGGCCCAGAATATCTGGGTGAATGTTCCATGTTTCTAGGAAAAAGTATGTTTCCTACAACAGTGAGGTGGTTAGTCTGTAAATGTCTGTTTCATTCAGGCCAAGGGTAGCCGTCAGATCTCCTGTGTTATCCCTCGTGACACAAGCCTGTGTCCCTGGGATTTGACACCTACCAGTGCTTCTCAGACTTCTTTCCCCATCAGGTGAGAGCATGCTAGAGGGAGCTGGGTTCCTTCCTGCACAGGGAAAGCTGGAGGGGACTGGATTTGGGCATCTCCTTTCCCCCAGGCCGGCTGTGGATGGCAGAGGCAAGGTGGTTGCTCTGGGAGAACGGTGTCCCCCCAGGGAAGGCTTCCTTAAGGAGACCAAGGGCACCCTGGGTGTGTTCAGAATGGTGGTTTCCTTCTCCCGCTGCCAGATGTACTGAGGATTTTGCTTTGCACTGTGAATGCGGTGGAGCTCCTGGAGGCGAGCTCATGAGTGTGGAAGTCCCGAAAGGCTGCGTCCCCTGGGGTTTAACCTGTCCGTCTTGCGGACACGGAGCCTGCACACAGTCATCAGCCACCGTGTGAGTGCTGCTGCCCAGATCCCGCTCCATCAGCGGCCTCTGCTCCGTGAAGCCGTGAGCCTCTGCGTTCACCCGTCTCCCCGCTTATTGCGGTGATGCTCACCCTGTGGTCTCAGTTCTCTGACGGATTTAAGGATTGTTGGTGTTCACGCCGTTCAGGTTTCTCGCGTGATGACAGAGAAACCCCATTAAGAAGGTCCAAGGATAAAAGGCGTAAAGTAGGTTACGGGGACAGGGAGCCAAAATAAGTTATAGGCCTGTTTTTATTACGTGAGATTTTCACAGACATAACTCCATGATAGTGAACTTGGAAACAGATGAGATAGTTGATGTCTAGCAACACACGAATTATACGAAAATTGTTGCAAGCAGCGGAGAGGAGTCCACCCACAACGTGGGGCCACTGAAGGGGCTGGAGGGAGTGGCCGCGGTCTGGAGACCCCCGGACCGGGAGCTAGTCGCACATGGCAGAAGGGGCTGGTGGCCCTGAAGGGCAGTAGGGTGGGGCCAGTGAGGCGGCCAAGAGTCCTGTGGTCCTGCAGCAGGGGCGGCGGGGACCAGCTGGGGCAGGGGAAGGATGGGGATGAGACAGGAAACGCAGCGTTTGAGGAGAACACAGGGTGCGACCCTGCAGGGTGAGGCGAGCGGGGACGCAGGCCCGTCCTCTCTGCCAGGGCACAGGCAGGTCTGGCTGCTGTGGTGATGACGCCCTGGGTGAGTGGGCTCAGGGGGCCAGCCTCTCTGAAGTGCCACCGGTCCCGTGTGCCAGCTCTGTGACTTCATGTCTTAGAGGGCTTCCTGCAGATACACCAGCCTAGGAGACCCAAGATCTAGCTCTATCTCACCATTGTCCAAACATATGAAGGAACATAGAAGGAACATAGAAGAGAGAATTCAGTTGGGAAGTCAAAGACCCAAGGACGATGTC